CCCTCCCCTCCCCCTCTCCCCCCCCTCTCTTCCTCTCTGTCTCTGTCTCTCTCTCTCTTCCTCTCTCTCTCGCTCCCTCTCCCTCTCCCTCTCTCTCTCTGTCTCTCTCTCTCTTCCTCTCTCTCTCTCCCTCTCTCTCCCTCTCTCTCCCTCTCTCTTCCTCTTCCTCTCTCTCTTTTCTCTCTCTCTCTCTCTCTTCCTCTCTCTCTCTCTCTCCCTCTCCCTCTCTCTCTCTGTCTGTCTCTCTCTCTCTCTCTCTTCCTCTCTCTCTCTCCCTCTCCCTCTCTATGGTGTGCCTCTTTGGGGAAACAATCTATTCACAGATAAAAGGACCCTGGTAGCTAACAGCTAGAGAATTCCTGCTGAGGAACAAGTCAATAGGACCCAAGTCATTTGAATTTGGGAAAGAGACCCAATTCCTGGTTTCTGTATCAAATCCATGCCGTGGCCTAGCTTTCTGACAGGTGTTTGAAAAATGAGGTCCCCAGTAATGGCCCTCTCTCCCTCCAATGCTTCCCTGGCCTGCAGCAATTAAACTGCTGAGCAGAAACTGGACCTGATGGTCTGTTAACCCTTTGTCAGCTAAAGCACAGAGGCAATTTGTTTTGCTGGAGAGAGTTTCTCCTCAACCTCTTTCCCTCCCACTGCACTACAAAGGAAAACTGTCTCCTTAAACATCTCCTTGTTGAGCTGCCACGTCTGTGTGATTGAAGCAGCTGGGTCAGAGATCAACAGAGGTGAAAGGTCATCACAAACTAAATGTGGCTGCTGAATCTCCTTGTGCTTCTCCTTGGCGTCATGAAGACAAATAGCATTAAAAAAAATTCTCCCAATGAAGCAGTTCTCATTTTCTCCTTTCTCATCGCCCTTCAAGCATTTCTTAATGAACTACAGCTCAATCATCTATGAGCATGATGGTTTTAAATCTGAGCATAGCCTAGCCAGAAACGATCAGAACTGAATCGATTAAGACAACTTTCTGAGTGCTTTTGTCCTTGTGTTACTAAGTTTGGGTTTTTTACCACAGTCCAGTTCCTCATTGTTACCATTTACGACAATATCAAACAGACCTGTAATGTCCAGCCAGTCCTTCAGTGCCAGCCACGACAGACACTGGGCAAAAACTTTCTGGTTACTGATACTTATGGTGTCTTTGTCTTTACATATATTCATCGTTTCTTATTGTCCACGTGTGCTTCATAGATTTTCTCTGTGAATTTTGAATTCTAGCCCAGCACCTTCCACCGTCTATGCCGGGATTTCTCAGGGATCCCCAGCTAATTTGAATGTGAGTTTAAGCAAAAGGCAATTGGGATCATAATCTTATTTAAGCCACATGTGTTAGAACCCAGGAACTCTTTATTAAGGAAAGACAATCCTGTCTTCCTAGTTCTCCATTTCTAAAGTTGAGAAGAGTTTTGAATTTGACAAACAGAATAGGAACCATCCAAAAATATCCAAACGAACATTTCTTTAATGATGAGAATCCCCAGTATTCAACCCAAGCTGATTTTTAACGAAGTCTTTATGGTCCTCAGTATAGCGCTTTTCTCACAGTAGTTACCCAACACCTTTTTCTGATTCAATATTATTTACAAATGTGAGTTTTAGACATAAAAACCATAGAAACTGGAATTGAGAGTTAAGAGATGGAGACATCTGATTTTACAGTAAAATGAGAATTTATTAATCAAACTTGGGTTTTGACTGTGCTGATGCAGATGATGGAAGAAGGAATTGTATGTATAGCAGCTAATATGGATCTACACTTGTCACGTAAGTGCTCCATGAATGTGACTTTTCTTCTCTCCTCAGGTGAGTGGTGGCCCATCTACCTGCCAAGGGACAACTGTGCTAGAATGGGTAGGAATTAAAACTGGAGTCAGTGGTTTCTCACCTTGGCCTGTGGTCCTCTGTAGGCAGGCAGGGTTAGGAGAGGGGTGGAGGAAAGGTTTGCAGAGTTATCTGCAAAAGATTTAAATTTTATATGTGCATCAAACATTGCATATAGATGAATTAAACACAATCTCTTGCACATAGTTCCTTCTCACTCTCAAATATCTATTTGCACACTATTGTGGTAAACATATACATGTTTATCTATAATCACTACAAAATGAATTGTAGTTTTTTGCCATCCTTTGTTTTCTCAGCTGCTATCAAGTGATGTCTAAGAAATGTTTTGAATAGAAAAGGTTTTTTCCTCCTGTTGAAAAACAGTGGGAACTGCCGTTCTATAGCATTGCTTAAGGTAAGGCTTCCCAGGTGTAGTCCTAAGACCTGTCGTACCTGTTTAAAGTGCAGTTGCCCAGCTCCACCCCTCACAGTCTGGATTAGAATCTCCCAGGCTAGGAACTGGAAATCTGCTTTCTAACAAATGTCCTGATGTCAATTTTCCCATGCATTGAGAACGCCGGGCTTAAGATAGTCGGAAAATACGTTGACAGAATCAGGAATCAGGTTCAGGAGGTTAAAGCTTTGTTTCTTCAAGTTTTACCTGAAGATGGAATATTATTTCTTTCTCGTTTAAATCCTTGCATACTATCCAAAAACTGGCTAGAATATCAATCATGTCAGATAGTCTAATGACAATTTTAAAGCACCGTATCCCTGCTGGAACTCTAAAACCGAAGACAGATGGTTTTGGATCATCTACAGATGAGGCTTAGTCACACAACTATTTGCCTTCATCGGTGTGCACTGAAATACAATGTGAATTAAATTACAGTGGGCAGGGGAGCTGGACTACAGATCTGAAATCATTAGCAGCTCCTGAGAGCATCCACCTGAGTTGTGTGTATTTAAATATAATCTTCAATACAATTAAGAAACATTTACCACCATCTGTGTTGTCATAGCAAAGTGCAGGGGCAGCAAATATCTGGTCTACGTTTTGACATCCTCCCCACCCCCACCAGTTTGCATGGCAGCTAGACGTTTCTAATCAATTCTAGCAATCCTTCCCCTTAAGTCAGGATATTTATGCCTCAGAATGCTTTTCCCCAGGCAGCTGTTAGCAGATGGGATGATGGAGGATGAAACCTATTTGCTACGTCTGGGATGGTGAAGGGCATGGGCTTTGCAGTCGTGGGTTTAGGGGGTTCAAATCCCAGTTTTGCCACTCACAGGTTGTGAGACAGAGCAAGATACTTACAAAATTTAGGTACTCTTGCAGCCTCATTCTCCTTATTTGCACAAGTGGGATTACAGCCCCATTTCACAGGATTATTGTGAAGGTGACAGAAAGAATACATGTAAATTGCTTAGTATTCCTAGCACATAGCGAGTACTCAATAAATTTTAGTTTTTGTTATTTTTAATCTAGCTTGAAATGATGTGATGGGCGCAAGGAGAAAGGGACTCATTTTGCAGGACTGCTTGAGTTCTATAAAGCAGGTGTGGAAGATTTTATTAGCAGAGTGCTTCCTTACTGCAACCCTCTCTCTGGGATTATGGCCCACATTTACTGAGGGCTTAACAATTACAGAAACTGTTCTAAGTACTTTTTGAGGAGTAACTAATTTAATCCTCACAAGAACCCAGTGAAGTAGATGTTCTTATCCCCAGTTTATAGAGGCAGCACCTGAGGCATAAAGAGGTTAAGCAGCTCATAAGGGACGTGCCGTTTGAAATGGGGACTCCGGCCAGCAGCCGCACTTGGAACTTGTGAAAAGGCAGATTCTCAGGCCCTGCCCCTGACTCCCTGCATCAGAACTCTGTGGGTGGGCCCAGAAATCTTTGTTTGAACAAGCCCTCCAGGCGATTCTGAGGCACATCAAGCTTTCAGAACCACAATCCAGAAGGCAAAGGAGCATTGGCAGGACAAGAAGTCCATCAGGAGTGAGGTGAGCGGATGAAGAAGCATGTCGCCATTAAGGAAGGGTGAGTGTCTTTTCAGAACTTTGATTCCTAGCTGTACCTTCCAGTATTCATCTGGGAATTCTGTGTGTTTTTTCCTGTTTATGAGGAAAATTGGTTTATTTGTTCTATTGTTTGTTTTGTTTTTTTTTTTACTTTGTGTTACAAGTTCCACTAGAACAAATAAGAAACCCCTTGTCTGTCTAGCACCTGCCAGAGAAGTAACCCTCATCAGTGGAGGGAGGGGATCAAATGCCTAGCATGGTGGAAACTTACCAGCTCCCAAGGTCTGGGCAGTGGATCTGAAACTTCAGAGTCCCTGCGAATCAGCTGGAACCTTTGTTAAAATGAAGATTCTCAGGTCCTGCTCTCCCCTATTCTGATTCAGTAGGTCTGAGGTAGAGCCCAGGAATCTGCATTTTAATAAGCATCTAGTCCATATGCCTCACCTTGAGAAATAGAAGTTTGCTGGTGGTAACAGGGGTGTCAGACCATGTCATATCCAGCCTTTGGATGACATAGGAGTTGGGGTGGGAGTAGTGAACCAATGTCCAGACTAGGAGAGTGAGACAGTAGTACAGGAGCCAGGGCAACAAGGTAGCAATCTATATCCTCACACTGTTCCTCCCCTCCTCTATCCCTTTCCCACTGCCTTCTCTTCCAAAAGGTGTTTCTGAAGGTTCTCTGAGAAGGACAATTTATTATACATAAAACAGCTTTCAGCAAAGCTCAGCCAGTCGTGAGGAGGGGATCTGGAGGGCTCCAAGCTGACCTCTCCTCCACTTCACCCCTTGAGGAAGCTCGTGAGGTAGGGCCATAGACACTTTAAACTTCCCTCAGGATTAGTTTGAAAATAGCCTTAATCTAACCCCCATTTTACTGATGAAGAAACTGAGGCCTAGAGAGGTGAAGAGACTTGTGTAAGGCTGGCTGGAGGCATCACTAGATGATTACCCTCATCTACTCATTCTCAGGCCACTGAGATTTCCAAGCTATGTTCATTAGAACATCAGTGTCCAATATGAGGTCCATAGGTGTTCTGGAGAACATAGGGGTGAGCTGGGGCCTTATAAGCAAGTGCAAAACACTGGATGCAGCCCATCTAAGCAGGTTTCCTTATGGGAGGATTTCACAGATGCTTGTATATTCTGATGCGAATTGTGAATCTCCAATAAAGGTTATGGAGGCAGACTTTTCCAAACTCATTTAATAACAGACGCTCCCCTCACCCCTTGTAACATATTATCAAGCCTCTCAAAGGACACTATTGTTGTAAAGAAAACTGTTTGGTGATAGTTGTAATACTCGGTGCTGCCCTGAGAAAAGCTGGAGAGAGTCCACAGTCACTAAAGATCAGAGTCTTAGGAGGTTACGAATTCACACAGACTTGCTCTGGACTAGCCACCTGTGAACTGCCATACGTGAGCTCCAGGTGGATCTGTGTGACCTGTTCCTATGAGAGGGAAGCCACAGAAGGTCAGGAAAAGCTGTAAGCTGGCTGACGCAGTGGCTGCAGAATGGGTGTCCGCCCTACCCCCCTTTGGATGCAAAAGTTCAGCGCTCAGAATTGCTCAGCTAGAAGGACGACAGTGCTGAGTGTGTCAGGGAGGCAATGCCAGCTCAGTGTTCAGCTGAAGACATGAGGAAGGGCTGCTATGGTCAAGGCTCAAGCCAGGGGCAGGCAGGATGGGAGAAATCCCCTGCTGCCTGCCCCTGGAGAAGACCTATTAACAGGAAAGTCGACAGAGCCAAGAAGTGCTGGGCCATCAGTCACGGTGTGGCCCCCACTTCAGGAGACGGCCGGTCAAGGGGAAATTATGCTGGCAGCTTTGTCTTCTTTTCTGACCTTTTTTTTTTTTTTTTTTTTTTGGGTTTTTGGGCCTCCCCCTTTTTTGGCCTTCCCCATTGCGGGGCCCGGGCTCTGGACACGCAGGCTCAGCGGCCATGGCTCACGGGCCCAGCCGCTCCGCGGCATGTGGGATCTTCCCAGACCGGGGCACGAACCCGTGTCCCCTGCATCGGCAGGCGGACTCTCAACCGCTGCTCCACCAGGTAAGCCCCTGACCATTTTTGAAGCTGTGCCTGTGACTTGTGGACTTTGTAATCCCTTCTTCTAAGGCTACCTACAAGCGAGCAACATAGGTTCTGCCTGTAGGTGAACCAGAGACTTGGAAGCAAAAGGGGGATGGAGTTGAGGTAGGCATCAGAGTCTGGAAAAACAGAAAGCACAGGTCAAACCAACAGTCATTAGATCCCTGGGTTAGAACCCTGGTTCTGAAGCAGATCAGCCAGCAAGTGTTCCCAGAGAGGGCATGTGCTGAGCCACCATGAAGGAGGGCATCTGCTGGCTGGAGAAAGTGACTGTAGGGTTGCGTGTCCTGTAGGCACTTGGCCAGGGTAAGGCTGAAAGGCCCTGCAGCCCAGATTAACCTTTACAGTGAACAATGGGCCAAGCCCAGGAAGCTCCCATGTCCTGCTAAGTAACCATGCACTGAAAAAAATTTGGATTTTTAAAAAAATCTGATTTCATTTTAATAGTTAGTTTTTTCCCCAGTAAAAACTAAGTATATGTCTATTATTAGTGAAAGGCACAGGTATATTGTTTGAGCAAAGTCTTTGGAGATTGAGTTTGGGTCCAGAACTCACAAGCTGTGTGACTTTGGGCAAGTCACTTACCATTTCCTCTTCTGTAAAATGAGAAAAATAATCACACCTGCCCCAAGTGGTTGTTATGAGGATTTAATGAGACAATGATACAATGTTCTTAGCAAAGTGCCTGGCATGTAGTAAAAGCTTGGATTTGAGCTATTATTAGTATAATTATTATAATCTCATCAACCCAGATGGATGGTCTATTAATGCTTTAGTATATTCCCTTTCAATCTTTTAATCATCTCTTTATGTTTTTAAATAGGTAGGCTCATATTAGAAACATACAATTTTGTGCCAGCTTTTTTCAATTAATAGTCTATCCTAGGTGCTGCATTTATAATGAGATAGAAGTAAGAGGACTGGCTTAGGAGTAAGCAGACCTGGGTTAGAATTTAGCTCTACCACTTACATACCCAACTGTGTGACTTTGGGAAGTTTCTCAGCTGAGTTGGTATGATAATTGTTACCTTACAAGGCTGTTAGGAGAATTAATAAGATAAAAGATTAAAGGCCGAGGTTGAGGCCTGGCACATAGTAAGTATTCAACAATGGTTGGTTCCCTTGTTATGGGGACAAAAAGTACAGTAATTTTTCTGAGCTTCCAGGGAATGTTTCAACTGCATGTCTCCACTTACTGGAGAGTCTTTTAAAATGTCCGTGGAAAGATCGATGACATGTTTGCACGTTCATTTTCTGTATGATCAACATATTTGTTCAGTGTTCTCTTTTGCTGTGCCCCAGCCCTCAGCCAAATTGCCTCTGAATAAGCTAACTGACACTGCACCTTGGGTCGCAAAATTTCTCTGAGCTTTTCCTCACATGTTTCCTCTGATTCCTGAGAGAAAGATGAAAGTGCGTGAGGCAGAGACATGGTGTGAACACAGGTCTCCAGAAATTGGTGCTGGGACAATGATCTACCTACCACCCAGCAGTGCTTAAGGGTCGATCAGCACCTTTCCCGTGAAGAGTTGATAGTCACTTCCTGAACCATGCTACACTGACATCTAAATATCATCTTTAATTTACTAATCATGTATTTATGTTTGAGCTTTTAATTATTTAAAAGGCAATATATAATTCACATAGTTCATTTTATACTGTGTCTGTTCTCAACCATCTTTTTTGATGTTTAAAGGCTTGAGTCAAATAAACCACTATGGGGGGAAAAGAAAGTGTTTGTAATATAAAAGCAGCCCTACAAAATGGACTTTAAAAAGACAACATGAATGGACCTAGAGGGTACTATGCTAAGTGAAACAAGTCAGACAGAGAAAGACAAATGCTATGACTTCCCTTAGACGTGGAATCTAAAAATCAAAAGAAATGAACTTACATAACAAAAGAGAAACAGTTATAGATCCAGAGAACAAAGAGGTGGTTGTCGGAGGACAAGAGGGGAGTGTGGAGGAGGAAAGAAATAGGTGAGGGAGATTAAGAGGTACAAAATTCCAGTTGCAAAATAAATAAGTTATGGGTATGAAATGTACAGTGTGGGGAATATGGTCAATAACTAAGTAATATTTTTGTATGGTGACATCGTAACTAGACTTATTGTGATGATCACTTTGAAATGTATAGAAAAAAACATTATGTTGTGTAACAGGAACTAACATAGTGTTGTATGTCAATTATACTTCAAAAAAACCCCAAACATACAAAAAACTCGTCAGAAAAAGAGATCAGATTTGTGGCTACCAGAGGCAGAGAGTGGGGGGAGGGGAGATTGGACGAAGGTGTCACAAGGTTCAAACTTCCAGTTATAAGATAAATAAGTACTAAGGATTTATCAAGTTCAACATAATAAATATAATTAACACTGCTCTATGTTATATATGAAAGTTAAGAGAGTAAATCCTGAGTTCTTATCACAAAGATTTTTTTCCTATTTCTTTAATTTTATAACTATATGAGATGATGGATGTTCACTAAACTTATCGTGATAATCATTTCATGTTGTATGTCATTCAAATCATGTTGTATACCTTACACTTATACAGTGCTGTATGTCAAATATATCTCAATAAAAGTGGAAAACAAAAGACAACATGGATGTCAACAAGGTGGCAGAATAGAAGGACCCCAGACCTTGTCCCCCATAGAATCACCAATTTAGCAACCATCCATGGACAACAGTGCCTCTGTTGGAAGCTTCAGGATCCAGGTAGGAGGTTGTGACACCCAGGTGGAGTCCAAAACTAAGGAAAGCTGACTGGAGAAGGGGGGCCAATGGCCCCGGTAGCAGGCCCACAAACTGTGAACCTGACTGCAGATATGGAGGCAGCACCATGACCTGGCTTTAGTCCCGCCTGTCCAGGGACTTGATGGCCCCACCTGTGAATCCCAGCAGTAAGCTTGCCTGTAGACACCACCAGCTGATCAGCCTGGAATCTCTGACTAGGCTGACTAGTGAAAGTCTTTATCTGCTGAAACCAGCCTGTGAAGACTGGAAGAGGTGACTGCACCTTCAAATGTACAGACACCAAGCCAGAACTACAAGGATCACAAAGAATCAGGCAAACATGACACTGTAAAAGGAAATTAGTAAAGCTAAAGTAATGGACTCCAAAGAAATGGAGATTCATGTAATGCTTGGCAAAGAATTAAAAAATAATCACCTTAAAGAGATTCAGTGAACTACAAGAGAATACAGATAGATAACTAAATAAAATTTTTTAAAAAACATTTTGAAATGACCGTGTATAGCAAAACTGAAACAGAGTCACAGATATAGAACACAAACTAGTGGTTACCAGTGGGGAGAGGAAAGGGGGGAAGGGGCAAAATAGGAGTAAAGGATTAAGAGATACAAACTACTATGTATAAAATAAATAAGTGACAAAGATATACTGTATAAAACTGGGAATTATAGTCATTATCTTATAATAACTTTTAATGGAGTATAAACTAAAAATATGGAATCACTATGCTCTACACCTGAAACTAGTAAAATATTTTAAATCAACTATACTTCAATAAGAAAAGAAAAGGCAAACAACCTATGGGATGCAAGAAAAACAGTGCTAAGAAGGAGGATTATAACAATGAATTCCTACGTTTAAAAAGAAGATACATCTCAAATAAACAATCTAACTTTATACCTGAAGGAAAAGAAGAACAAACTAAACCCCAAATTATCTAAAGAAATAATAAAGATCAGAGCAGAAATAAATGATATAGAGAATAGAAAAAGAATTTTAAAATGAGGAAACAGAGTTGGTTTTCTTGAAGAAATAAAATTGAAAAACGTTTAGCTAGGCTAACTAGGAAAAAAGAAGACTCAAATAAAATCAGGAGTGAAAGAGAAGACATTACAATCCCACAGAGCTTTAGGAACTAATATGAACAATTATGTGCCAAAAATTAGACAACCTAGAAGAAGTGGAGAAATTTCTAGAAACATACAACCTATCAAGACAGAATCAAGAAGAAATAGAAAGCCTGAACAAATAAAAAATAAATAAGGAGCTTAAAAGGGTTATAAAAACAAACCTCACAACACAGAAAAGCCCAGGACTAAATGATTTCATGGGTGAATTCTACCAAACATTTAAAGTAGAATCAATATCAATCTTTCTTAAATTATCACCACCACCCCCAAAACAAAATGGAAGGAGAGGGAACACTTCCGAACTCATTCTATCAGGTTGACATCACCCTGATACCAAAGCCAGACAAAGACACCATCAAAAATACCATATCCCTGTTGAATATAGATGCAAAAATCCTCAAGAAAATGTTGGCAAACTGAAACAACAGCACATTAAGGATTCATACAGCATAACCAAGTAGGGTTATCCCTGGGATATGGGTATGGTTCAACATATGCAAATTAATTAGTGTGATACACCACATGAACAGATGAAGGATAAAAACTACATGATATCTCAACAGATGCAGAAAAAGTATTTGACAGAATTCTATACCCTTTCATGGTAAAAACTTTCAACAAATTAGGAATTATGGAAGGAATTTACCTCAACACAATAAAGGTTATTTATAAATGGCTAACATCATACTAAATGGTAAAAAGCTGAAAGCTTTCCCTCTAAGATCCAGAATAAAGCAGGAATGCCCACTCTCACCTCTCCTAGTCAACATAGTACTAGCAGTCCTACCTAGAGCAATCAGGCAAAATCAAAGGCATCCAAATTGCAAAGGAAGAAGTAAAACTGTCTCTGTTTGTAAATGACATGATCTTATATATAGAAAACCCTAAAGACTACACACACACAAAAATGTTAGAACTAATAAGTGAGTTCAGTAAAGTCACAGGATACAAAATCAGCATACAAAATCAGTTGCATTTCTATA